GTTTTGTAGAAGTTCCATTGAATCAGGAGAAAAATGAAATACTAAAACTCCCCACAGGTGTCGGTTTTATTATTTTTTCAACAAACACTTCTGGTAGAGGGGAACCCCTGATCCACAGCTACAAATTACTAATCATGTGTATTATTCAACGTTTTAGTCCATTTCTGAAACTTTTCCTTTAAATCAAAAGGACCGCTCTTTAGTAATTGCAGGCTGCTTGGCCTCCTGATGGGAGACTCATATAACCGTAATCCCCCTGACGACGACTACTGGCACCCATCCCATTCCTCAGCAAAACACTAAGACTGAATTAAGAGGATGAAGAGGATAATTATTAGATTCAGGAACAGTTTCCCAGCAAAATCTGTTTTTTATTCACCACCATGAAAAACTGTTTATGGTTTTGAAAATACTCTGTTATGGTAATTGGTAAGGTGCTGTTCGAAGTGACTTTATTTTTAAAATATCAGCTGGGGTTTAAAAAAAAAATGTATGGGGCGAACGTAGTCTAAGCATTGGTGGTTTCCTTTTTTAGTCTCCTGTGCTTGTTTTAATAAAAACTTAAAGCCAGAAGTTCAGATGGAAGGGGAGTCTTTGTCAAGTTCCATCATGTCCTATCTATTTAGAAGTAGTAGCAACATGTAAAATAGCATTTCTATTGCTTTGACAATTTCCATTAAAATATGTCTTTTCTATTTTTAAAATCTTATATTGAGACATAAATAATAGAGTGAATAAAAATGAGTTAGGGTTCACATAAACAGTACAAAATAACAATTAATGAAGCAGTTGATTTTATAAATTGACATAACATTTTCAAAGTGGAGTATTCAGAAATTGAATAATTTCTGGTAAGACTTTTATGATAGCTTCAATATTGTGCCTTTACAAAAAATAAAAATAAAATGTGAATAGATGCCCTATTTTTCTATAATGGATAAATAGGTAGTTGTAGAAAAACTATCTCAATAGTTAGGCAGCCTAAAAGCATAAACCTTTATTTTGTATGCCAAAGATTCTTTTATCTATGCTGTTCATAGTAATTAATAAGCTCATTAAATTTAGGTATCTTGAATACATTACAAGATCTGATTTTCTATAACTGTGTAGACATTTTTCTTTTGAGTAATTATGTTCATATCCAAGCATTCATTAGACCAAACAATAGGACAGTCCTCATTAACAATATTTGTTATTGAATCTTTAAACATGCTTCTTCTTAATGGGTTTTGAATTAAAAGGGGCTTTCAAGTCCAAAGCCCAGAAACTCAGGGTCAAAGATGTTATTCCAACTTTATATCTTTGGATATTGGTATCAATTAAAAATACTTGAGCAGAATCTAGTGTTTCTGGTGTTTGCCTACTCATCTAATCAGATTCATACCCTGATTATCATTGTTTCGACCGTAATCTGAAGTCCATATATTGTGCAAATATGAATGTAATGGGACTTACCTGCAAGTAGACAAATTTAAGGTCAAAAGGCAAAGATTACTTTTCAGAGCTACTCAGACTATAGTCATTGCAGTGGTGCAATGATTTAGCTCACTTACACTAGTGGTATGTAATGGACAGTAGTAGATTATTTAGATTCATAGCCTTATTCTCTGATTCTAAATCACATTAATATCAATCTTTTTCCAAGCAAGTACGTTTATGATTACAGCCTTAACATATTAAATACAAAGTAGTATAAGATGTTGGCATAACAAATACCATCCTTGCAAGCTTTATAAGTGGATGTTAAGCTTTTGTATCTGCATTTTATGTGCATAGTCTTAGATGTTTGCTCTGCAATAAAAAACAGGTTTTCCAATGATTAATACTCTAAAATAAATGAGTATCTTTCTAATATAGTTTACAGCTGTCAGCTAAGAACTTTTTCTTCAATCCATTGAACTTAAAATAGGCATAAGAGAATTCAGTGCAGTTAATTAATGTGAGTTATGTTGCATTATTCCATCTGTTGGTAAATAGTTGACATGACTATTAGTGTATTCCAGTAAATTACATTGCTTCAGAAATTCTTCCCTTTGGTTTAAGCTTTATTTTATTTCTCTGCTGTTGTGTAATAGTTTAAAAATAGGTTGGGTAGCATGATAGCTTCCCATACAGTATTTTCATATAATTCTCATTTGAAATTCAAGTGTAGCTGACAATACAGGCATACACAGACACTTCATACACAGTTTAACAGTTTAGATTTACTTCTTAGTTGATCGTTGGTGTATTGTAAGTATATTGCTTTATTATGAATCAGTTTACTGTGATCAAGTAAATAATGTTCTGCTTGTAGAATCCAACAAAATATATAATAGGAAAATATTAGTTAAAGGTATATACATTTATATTACTTCATATAATTATTTTTAAACAATACTCTTTTAAGCATTATGAAGCTTTTAGATGTCAGCACAACCCATTCAAACAGAAAAGGTTATTTAGATGTTTTATTGTCTTTCTTGTATTTGTCAAAGCCTTGCTTGTCCTCTAAGCAGTTCTTATTTATGCTCAAAATATTGAGATGCAGCTCTGTACTCTGGTCTGTTTTCCTCATTTGTCTGTGTTTCTAATATAAAACAACTGAAAAATGTAACCAAGTGAATGCTCTTCTCTCTAGTGTGATCAACACATGCTGTGACAGAGCCTTCCTGTTATTATGCACCTAGTTACTCATTCCAAGTCACAGTCAAGGGCCTTTTAACATCCCCCCTTTTCCTTTTTTTTATTTTTGGTGAACAAAGACTATGGCTGAGTTCACACATCAAGCTAAGTCAAAACTAAGCAAACTACACTATGTTTACTGCAATGTGTGAACCAAGGATTGTGGATTGTAAGCCACAATAGTCTCTTTCACCAGGCTGCACATGACAGTCTTGCAACATTGGTTCCTGTCTATCTTGCAGTCTCATCTGAATTCAAACTGCCTTCACTTCCACCTCCCATTTTTTTCTTCAGTCATTCCACTAGAGAATGTTTCTTCTAAACCTGCTCTGGGACTGCCTCTTTTCACCACTTCTGTCAATAATCACTATGACATCAGATGCCACAGTGATCAGCTGGGAAATACATTATCCAAGGACATACCTCAAATGACTGTTGTATATAAACAGTCTTGAACTATTGGCAGTTTTCAGAGCAATGAAGGTTTTCTGGTTTCTCTTCTGGAACCATTTTATCCAGATTACAAGATCTCTACACTTCTTGTTCTATGGATGTAGTACATGACTCACAGTATTTTTGTTCACAGTATACTTGTTGGTCAATTACAACGACCTCAGTTGGGTTGCTTCACCTGGAAATCTCAGTTGACCTCTCCACACAAATGGGAATTCCATCAATAAATCTCTTTGTAACAATCCAGAATATGCATTACCTGTTGTTGAGAATGAAAGAAAATGCTCAACCCTGGATTCAATTAGCATACATAATTAATAGCATGTGCTGCTATTAATTATGTATCAAATGATTTCTAGTTCTAATTTCTTTAACTTTGTGAAGTATGTCACAATATATGTATGAATGCATACATGTATATTCTAGTCATGCTATTCACTTTTGGAATAAGCAACATTATGCAAAGAGAAGAAAAAACGTAAGAAATGGAAAAGAAAAAAAAATTAAAGATAGGAAATAAGAGAAAAGGAAAGGAGGTCTAATTTAAATCTGATACATAGCAACACCATTCATTATATATTCCAGTAATTTTCTGTTCTTTCCAACATCCATGCTCCCACCAAATCCATATACCAATTCATATGCTGTGTTTTGTTCTTAACGTCTACCCTCCCTTTCTGAGGATCTCATCTTATTCTAATCTTCTAGAATTACTATTAAAATTCTTCATTGTTTCAGACAGACACATTAGAGCTTAATTGATTCTGACTTGTAAAACTGAAAATAGACTTAATATGTTTCTGTCATTATTGTAACACCATAAGCATAATGGTCTCTCTTCATATTGCATCTAGTATAATGAGGTTCCAAAGAGCCTTTGCATGTCCAGTGGGAATAATTGACTTACTTTTTTTATTTTCTTTCAATAACTTATTTCCATTTCAAGTTAAACTTCGCTTTTGAAAGTCTATGACTCCTTATCATGTGATACGGAAAAATTATTGTTAATAAACACAAACCCAGAGCCTTCAGGCACCAAGAAATAGCAATTTGGTTCTTTGGATCCCAAGTTGCATACAATAGCACAAAAGTGAGAGTATTCTTCATATTGCTAGGTACCTACTTGTGATGGGAAGTAAACAGTGTTACCAGTAATAAAATAAAAGTAATGATAATGTACTTAGGTTAGAAAACTGCTTTGGTAACTGGAGGAAATTTGTCCTCATTCAGTCCAATTTCTGAATACAAACTGAACATTCCTTGTCAATGCAAGCTAAAATTGAAACAATTTCCTGTTTGGTTTGGGAACAGGAATGTTCAGGAAAATGAATCCTGTGATTCAATCCTGTACATATTTATTCAAAATTAGGCCATATTGACTTCATTGGGAATTACATATGTGGGTCTAGGAATGGATTGAAATCACTAGAGGGTAATTCCTATGTTAGAGAATAATCCCCAGGCATACAGTAGGATTAATTTCTGAATATACTTGTTTTGAATTGTATTGTAAGGGCCTTATCTTGGCTTTAAGGAATTAGTTTCCTATGAAGTTGAGCTCAGCTCAAGAGCTTCCTTTCCTATTTTTAACCTCTTTGGATCTCAGGCTTGGCTGTGAACTTTGAAAGAACTTGAGAAAAAAAAATAAAGCTGAGTGGAAAATACCAGAATTCTGTAGAGAAATATATGGTATATGCTAAACAATTTGAGAGACAGTTAAGAAAAAAAACTGTTCAAATGTTTTGCTGATTGGCAGGGAGTAGCAGAAATACATTTGAAATGAGTAATATTTAAAGAAAAATTCATTTTGGTTCTCACTCTTTTTGTCTCCTCTGTCCTCTTCTCCCCCCCCCCACCCCCCGCCTGAAAATCTCCTGCCACAGCGATTGCATTTGCCTCCAGACTTGTCAGACACAGTGAGCCGCACAAGCAAACAGGATCTGGCAGTCTCCGCCAAATTGCTGAGCTCAGAATGTAGTGCGATGGCCATGGGCAAGAAGCACCTGGACTTCTAGTGATTTCAACTTAGCAGCTTCACTCCAATTTATATGACACCCTAATTATGACTGTTAATGACTTTCGTAAATATTTTTCTTCATCGTTGTGACCCAGCAGTCCTTCAAAAAAAATATAACTTGCAAGCTTTGTACCTATCTTTCCATTCTGTTATTTTCATGTATGCAGGTGTGCTGTTTCAAGAATAAACAAATGCATTCTGTATTGTGAGACAATTGTAAAACCTAAAAATAAATTGCCATTTTGAAAAATTAATTTTCTATTGTCAAAAATTGGACTTCTATTACAGGTAAAGTTCAAGATAGTGACTGAGCAAAAGAATTTTAAATACTTAATGAAACTACTGTTTTTGTAAATCAGTACTGTATTAAGTAAAATAAGGAATTATTTGTGATATGTTATTTTGTTACTAAAGCAGTATCTCAAAAAAATACTGTTAAATAAAATATGACAAATTATTTTATATAACTGTATACAGGCTGTTCTTTACCAGTGTCATCATCTGTAACTCAGTAAAGATACTTTATGGTAAACATTCACATTAAATAATGAGTTTGTCTTATAGGCTTATAAATATATTAAAGTCTTGAGTGAATTTTACTAAACACCAAGATTTTTTTAATGTAATTCAAAATATTAACAGTAATCCTAAACAACTGATAGTCAGCATAGTGAAATTATGTTAACAGAATGAAATTCAATCTGACAGCTACATTAATACTAAAAATCGGGGGGAGTGTAGTGGAGCTTGGAGACAAGGGATCATAGAAGAAATACAGTGCAGTAGAAAATAAAACCAAAATTTCATGCTTGTGTGTGTGTGTGTGTGAGAGAGAGAGTGATTTGTGTGTTTATATGTGTTGTGTGTGTGTGTGTGATGTAAGCCACCCAGGGTTATGATACATAAGATGGGCAGCTATATAAATTTTATATACGCATGCACACACACCCAAATGCACCATAAACATATTAATATTTTCCACCTATGAAATGGAAATATGAAATATATAAATATGAACATATATTTATTGGCAGTAAAATCTGCATATTTATATAGAATTAATGTACCAAAGTGATCATTTGGTGAATATCAGGAAGCAGGGAACCTGCAGATTAAATTTTAGATGATGTCCTGATTTAGGACTATTATGATCCTATTTTAAAACATTCCTCCATAATTTCCGACAAGTTCACTTTGGATAGTTCAAACTACAATATTTACTTCATTACTATAATTGTACTTACTTACCTACTTCAAACTATAATTTTATATAGATGGATTAAAGCACTGCTCTTTCTCAAAAAACCTTAAACGCTGACTACAATAATGTTAATTATTTTGATCTGAATGGAACTAAAGTTGTTTAAACGATTGACTTTTTTTAATGCTGTGAGTAAAATGGAGACAGCTTCTACAATTGTTTAATATTAATGTCAATCATTTTAAAACATCTACTGTACTATAAACACATACTATATACAGCTTTTATTCTGAATTAGAATAATTGAATCAATGTCAGTGATTTGCTAGAATGTCAAATCTATCCATCATATCTTGTCACTACCAGTTTATTTTTTCTGATCAAAATCAAATAGACTACTGGTTTGTCTTCCACTATTTCACTAGAATTAACAATTGAGGGGTTTTTTTTTCTTTTTGAAAGATATGTCATTTTTTTTATTTATGAAGACAAATCCTTTTTAAACTATTCAAAATGAAGTTCCAGAATTGAGCTGACAAATTTCTTAAATATATATCTATACTTGATATGTATATATTCCTATATCTTTCAAATAATTCCATTCATTCATTCATTCATTCATTCCCAGAAATCCTCAATAGAATTTGAATGGGGACTTAAAAAGAGAGGGCAAGAGAATTAACTTAGTTATTGATTTATGTTTTTATGAGAAATGGGAAATAAGAATTTTACATACACTTTTTCTGTAAATCTTTAAAAACTCTATTAATTTTGCTGTGGTTTATTAATAATGATATCAACATCCTAATAGAATCACTCAGCATACAGTCCTCCAAATATAAATAGCCATTCTCTAGTTTATACATTACTTCAGAATATATATGTGCACACATGCATATTCAAATCTAACCTACATTTATGAAAATCTCAAATGATTTCAAATAATAAAATGCCATTGGCAAAGAAACCTGTAGAACCATATTTTTAATAGGAAGTGCATTGTTTTGGATACGTGCTTTGTGAACACAGTACGCAGTCTTCAGTTAAGACAGAAAAGACTGCAATATCTATATTTTCAGAATATAAGGCAGGCAGTTGTTTGCCTTATGTAGGACAAATGAAGGATAAAATGGTTATACTGTGCTTCATAAATATCTGTTTTAGAAATTCTGTACACTATTTTAAATAATAATATGGCCCTTCATATAAAATGAAATGACACAATTTTTACAGGACATTTTCTCTTTCCATTTTACTCTTTTTTCAAACCAGAATACTTACATTTTCCATTGGCAAGAACAGTGGCACAACACTGGGAAAGTGAAACTCTGCCGACGATACAAGATTGGGAGACCAAAATTGGTGAATATACACCAGTGGCAGAATAGAAGTTTAAACAAATTTAAGCAGGAATTATATATGACACATCACACAGCAAACAGATTCAGACATTTGGAATATGGCTTCTAGAAAAAAAGTTAAGAGACTAATTAAAAACAACAGATGAAATGACTTAAACAGATACAAGCAAAAATCTCCAATGTTTAATATTAAATATTAAAAGTATAGCATAAATATTTCAGTATTGGTTAGTGGTTGGGAAAAAGAAGAGAAGGGGAGAATGTGTCACCAAAATTCCCCTTCATAATGTTTTTACAGGAAATCCTCAACTTACGACCATAATTGGGACCAGAACTTCTGTTGCTAAGCAATGTGGTCGTTAAGTGAGTCATGCTGGATTTTACAACCTTTTTTGGCACAGTTGTTAAGCAAATCCAGCTTCCCCAATTGACTTTGCTTGTCAAAAGCCCCTGAGAAATTTGCAAATGGCAATACGTGATCCCAGGATGCTGCAACTGCCTTAAATACATGCTGGTTGCCAAGTGTCCAAATGTTGATCACATGACCACAGGGACACTGCAATGGTCATAATTGCAAGGACCGGTCATAAGTCACTTTTTTCAGTGCCATCGTAACTTTGAACAGTTGTTAAACGAATGATCGTAAGTTGAGGACTACTTTATGTTCTATTTTTCATTTTGGTTTTAGTATTTCTATTCTTTATGTTTTAGTACTCTTTAAGCTTATGGAAAATAATTAAAATTAAAGAATGGAAGACTTACACGTTCTTCATCTATAGCTGTCAAGGTCTTATACCAAGAGTATAAACGATTCACAACAGAATATTGCTGGCTGCAGGCAGAAGTTGCATATGGTTCACTAGAGCTCTTTTTTCCCCATTTCCCTCTATTTTAAAGAATGTATTCTCAATTAATATCCAACATTGAGATGAAAATCTAAATATGAGTTTAACAGGGGGGTTCAGTCCTCCCAGTCTTAATAATAGCTTAATAGTATATGTGTGCCCATCAGTACAGAAGCAGTAAAAAAAAGAATATAGTTTTTATTCCAATCCCTTGGTAAGGAGGGAATTATACTTACATGGGAATCAGCAACAGATTGTGCCTAAAAGTCTTGCAAAGATTATATCTCAGTTGTAGAGAACTGAGTCTGGTCTAAACAGGCAGCAATTGGAGATGGCTGAGAGGCTTATGCTATTTTAAAGTGGTTAGTGTGGGGTCAGGTATTTAAAGCTTCCCTATGATATTTTTTTTAACTTTTGTCCCAACCTTTAGGTCAAACTTACAAAATGGTTTACCATAAAAACATTGAAAGCAATAAAACTGTGAAATAACATGCAACATAAATGTCTGGTAACAAATAGCAAAGAAACAGCCTTTATTTATTTATTTGTTTGTTTGTTTATTTATTTATTTATTTATTTTTCAAATTTAGATACCACCCATCTCACAAAAAGTGACTTTGGGTG